GGATCCGAACCCTTGGGCGGGAGCACCGCCGCGCTTCCCAAGCGGCGCACTTATCCAGTGCACCACAGGGCCGGCCCATGAATTGTTTTTCAATATCATTTAATTTTCTATCTGTAATTTTTGTTACTCCCTGAACATCTTTAGGAGGATTATTGTGAATTCTCTGTCAGGCATTTTATAAATCTGCTGTTCTTCTGGGTCTATTGCTGGTGCTTTGTTGGTTTCTACCTGTAGCATAATATTTCTCTGTTCTTTCTCAATCTTTGTGTCTTTATGTTGATGCCTGTGCATCTGAGGAGATGGCTACAGTGTCCTTTGGTTGTGTTAGACCTTTACTATTCAATATCAGAACTTTGTCTCTGGTCTGGTTTTTTTGTTTCTTTGTTTGTTTTTTGTTTTGTTTTGTTTTGTTTTTCATTCTGTGATGGATTAATTGCCACCAGCACCACATAAACACTGTACTAGAACTAATTTGCTGTACTGCCATTAATTCCCAAACTGGGGAAGACTTACTGCAGGGAGCAGTAATTCAATGCTGTGCCTGATCTAAATTGCTACCTTGCTGTTGTTTCTTGGTCTGGAATATACTTTTTAAACAAACTGTGTTTTAATTGTTGTCCTTTTAGTCACTTCCACATCATGTGGAGCTTCTATAAGAGCAACTGGGCTGTGTGGAAAATACAGCCTAGGACTGAGTCTTTTCCACAAATTGTGTCCCCTGTAGTTCTATCGAGCTGACTGATGAGATCTCATTGTAAACCTTTGGTCTTATGGACCTGACATCTCAAGAGGTATAACTATGTCATAAATATATGTTTTACTTTCTTTTTCTTTCTTTTGCAATGTAGAAACTTTCTCATCTGTTTAAAATGGGATTTTTTTGACAATTTATAGAAAGGTCATTTAAAAATCATAATAGTTCCTTACTGTCCAAAATGGATAATATGTTTAAATAACCAAAGAAAGTCTAGCTGAAAGCAAGAATATGAAAAGAATCAAAGATTAGACATTGCATAGTAAAGATCCAAGGGCTAAATTCAGCTTTAAGAAGTGTTTGGTTTTCCTGAAATGTTGTTTTTCAAAATGATGTGTTTGACTACACTTTAGAAGACAAAATTTTGAGACAAAATGTTTCATGTAATCTTATGAAAAAGTGAAGATACATAGTCACCTTGTGTTGAAATTCTCAAAAGGTTTTAATAAAGCTGGAACTGAAGAGCATCTGCCTACTGTGAATGTTGTAGTTTTCTAGATTTTTTTTATCTACTTTGTTTCATTCATTTGTGATAATTTATATTCCCCCTTAAGCATTTGAAGATTTCCTTTTACTTGCATTAGTGCATGTTATAATGGACACATTTATAATTTCATCATTTGCTTTTCAATCAACTTAGAGACCTGTTGAGAAAATGCACATCTTTCTTGGAGGCAGCCTTATTGTGTGAATCCTCAGTTTCTCTGTTTATACTTAATGATGTCAGTTTTTTGCTTGCCAGAATATGGATTGAGGTTGAAGTTGGGACCTGGACAGAACTTAAGCTCTATCTTTCTGATTAGTGACTATTCACTTCATTAGAGCTAAGCACATGGCTGTTCATGTCACAAAGAGTATGAAAGATACTTTTGTTCCTTGATCTCAATGTGTCCTTGCGATTTTTCAACTAAATGAAATTTCAGTCCACATTTGACTTCAAATATCATTTATGTAAAAATGCTTCCCAAGGAACATCAATTTATCTATCAATGAAGTAATAATTTATTGTTGAATTATAGTTTCTTTTCAAAAATACTTAAACTAAATCAATGACAGAATGACAAATAAAACATGTTAGTGATTTACTCTCATTGATTTTATTCTCTACATTATTTTTTTTGTTAAAAACATCAAGATGAAGTATATTAACATTGTAGGTTTGATTCAAATGAAACATCAATTACATGTTACTGTATTCCGGAAAACAAGTGTGTTGAGGTTTGTTAGCAATGGGACATTTTTATATTCACAACTAATGCTAGAAACAGGAAACTCAGCTGGCAAGAAATCAAGAGGTGTCCATCATTTGCTGAGAAACGAGTTGCTTTTGTTTGTTGTTGTTTTGTTTTGTTTTGTTTTGTTCTTGAGAATGTAGTGGAGAAAACTGTGTTTGAAGATATTAGNTTGTTTTGTTTTGTTTTGTTCTTGAGAATGTAGTGGAGAAAACTGTGTTTGAAGATATTAGATTAAACATCCCAATGCAGTTCAGTGAGTTTGGTGAGTTGGCAATAAAATAATATTCTCTCAGTGTTGCTCAGGATGAGAAATAAACTGGTACAAATTACTTAGCTGGATTAAGACTTTTCTATATTTGAAAGTTTACCTTCCAGGTAACCACCCTTCAATATTCTTACTTATAGTTGTAATTCCAGAAAAGAAATTTTATCTTTGGGTTGGCCAGGTGTGTCAGTTTTCACAGGCACTATCAGCACAAGATTTGTTTCAGATACTGTATTTCCAATTGAAAGGCATACTGGATAAACTACGTTGTAGTTAAAATAGATGTTTTTCCTCCTCCATTAAATATTTATTTCTCAAGAAAAATACATTGTTTTTCAGAATGGTTATTCATAGTAAAAGTGACCTTGCATCTGGTGTTAGGTTACATGTAGTAAATTAATGAAAACTGGATAGCCAAAGAAGATGGCCTTAATTTAGAGTCAGAAAGACCCAAAGTATCAGGTTGTCAATCTTACATTATGTTATGAATGCCTTCATTCAAATGTTCCCCAGGATATGCAATCATTTGTTGAGAGCCTATTTTGTGGAAAATGGTTGAGAATTCAGATAGACAGCTAAATAGACAGATAGGAAACTTATTTCCTATGATGCTTCTCATCGTTCTAATTTTACCTTGCCTGTTCTTGCTAGCAGAGGGGTATGGATGTAGACATATTTACACTGAAACAAAAATTACAGGCAACATTGAATAAAAATGGAAATTTTTAGCATGTTTTTGTAAGCAGGAAAACACTATGGGTGAATTTGTACACAAAAATG